AGTTTGGAATGTTTACGCTGTGTTTAACATTTAATTTTACTGAAAACTTAAAGCAAATTAAAATTTAAAGATAATTTAAATTGTAGAAAAAGAAAACACAACTGTGAAACGTCAAATTGCAATGTCCTAACCTCACTTTTTGTTTTATTATTCATATTTAATTTTACAATAATTTAATGAAAAATATTAAACATTATAATGTTATAACAGTAAAACAAACAAATTAGTGCTTATTATAAATAAATTAAACCAGTTTAGTAAGTTAATTTCTTAGAAAAGGATTAATTTGTCAAAACAATACCCCTAGCGACAAAAAATCGAACTAATTACTTGCCTCATAAAAATTTTTATCGGCCTAGGCCATAATAAGGTATTTCTTTATCGAATGTTGACAACAATAAAGTTTAAATTATAGACCGCGTGGAGATAAAAATATATATTATATTTTTTTGTTTCATTTATATATCTACTTACTAGAAATCCTACCTTCATCTTAATAATTTCCGTACTTTCAAAAATTAATTTACTAAAAAATTATGAATTTGCAGTACTCGACTAACTATAGTTATTATAATATTATGTATTTGTCTTAATTAAATTATTTTGATTTATATTACTATCTTAACTTTTAATTTCTAAAAATTCATCGACTACCTATGGTCGGGTACATCCATTTTTACTTGCTAAAATACTTTTATCATTGATAATTTTATTTATAGATTTTAATATTGCCAATAATCAATTTTTAAGAAAATGTATTAAAAGTTGTGATAATTATTATTAATTATTAAAAAAATTATTTATTACCATATTGTAAAATAATGTTTAATTTACACAAGTAATAATAGTGTACTTGTGTTTATTTCTGTTTACGTTAAAACTTGAAACAACTACATTTACTTGCTCAAAATACCTTTTTATAAATATATCTTTAATAATTTATTAATTAAATTCCCCAATTAACATATTTTTGTCAAATCTTTTGTTTAAAACAAACATTTGCGTTTACATTAAAACTTTAAACAACTTTTTATTTTTAAATTAACAGCGGCAAATAAATCAAAGATGGTGGACATTAATATCTGACGTGGTGCGCATAACAGTCCTGATTTTCGTTCGAATTTTATCGAGATAGAACAGACCTTGTTGTGTGGATTGTGGGTATACGCTATTTACTTGATTTGGCGCCAAACGCGAACAGTTGCACAGTGAACTATGAAGTGTGAAGTTGTTATGTGTTTCATGGGCGTATGTTTAATGTGCATCATTGGAGTGCTAGTGACAATTTTGTTTATCTAAAAGCTATTAGAAAAATATTGAGAATAATTAATGAGCAGTGACAACTACAAAAGGTATGCATAATTTAAATTAAATGCATTAATCCATTTGCTGTCCAAAGAACCTTAACCTTAATTTAGTCATTGGCGTGGATATTTACTTGCATCATTATATATACTATAGCGTGGACTTTTTTGTCCACGCTAATGACGGACTATCCACGCCAATGATATTTTGTACGAATAATGATAATAAGATATTTTTACCTAAAATCGGCAGTAAAGTAGTCAACAATCCACAGTAAAGTAAAAGAAATCGGCAGTAAAGTAGAACTTTAGTACCGATTTAATACGAGCATTGTATGCAAACCATTACTGCTCCTTAGCAGCAACTAAATAATATTTAAAAAAAAGCACCTTCGCGGAGATCAATTATTGGAACCTTTCATAAAATGTTAAAAAAAAATAATAAGTTAATTTTATTAAATTAAAAATCGCCGCGGCGGGCAAATATATCATAACCCAAAGATAATATATAATATAGGTAATAATATAATATAATAATATATAATACACTGCCCGTCAAAATTAACGCATAATAATTACAGAAATTCTCTAAAACGCCTTTACCAATCTTTATGAAAATGTGTGTAAAAATACTTCAACTTATATCTGTTTACGTGTTTGAGGGTTTTTCGAGAAAATATTTTTAATAAAAAATAAAAAACGTTTAAAAAATAACTTTTAGGGATTTTTTTTAAGAAATAAAAAATATGTAACGAAGATACAGCGCTTCAAAGTCGGTAAAAATAACCCCTTTTTGGTTATTTTGCTGAAAAGTGGTAATTTTTGACGACTTTGAAGCCCTGTATTTTCGTTACTGTTAGTTTGATTTATACAAAATTTTCAGGGTATACTAACAAAAATACGGCCTTTAACGCCATATTTTTTATTTACTTGAAAAAAAATTCTCTAAAAGTTATTTTTCTAGCGTTTTTTTTTATTATTAAAACCCTCAAACACGTAAACTGAGATAAGTACAAATTTTCATAAAGATTGGTAAAGGCGTTTTAGAGTTAGAATTTTTTTACCTATTATGCGTTAATTTTGATGGGCAGTGTATAATATAAGATAATATATTATCTTTGTCATAACCATCGCAACAAACAGTATACCATGGACACTACATTCAAATGACATTCGATTCAAATTTTAATGCAGAAGGTGTCTACTGTTTAAAATGGTAAATAATTTATAATTATTAAATGCGATTTCGGATAAAATTTAATATCGTTACCCTAATTCGCAAAAGACGTAAGTCCACTTTTGAAAAACCGGGTTTTAGTGCCATCTCCTGTTCATAAACCTGCAGGTTTAATATCTACATAAACCGGCAAGTAGCATTATATTTACAATGGGTAGCTGCAATTTACAGAGACCTGGTATCCAGGTATGTCTCCTTTTTTTTTATCGAGCACTGAGGTAAATTATTTTTAGGAATAATTGAGGATATAAATGGAGAAAACATAACTATTACCTTTATGGCAAGAAGTGGTAAATATTTTTATTGGCCTGGATCAACTGATCGACAAATCTTTACAGAAGCTGGTATATTATGTAAACTTGATTTGCCACCACAGCCAATTTCAATAGATTTATTAATTTTTTTTGTAACCAATGTTTACTTATAAATAAATATTAAAAATATATTTTGTATCATTATTCAATGAAAACTGTCATTAGCGTGCCTCTTAGTCATTGGCGTGGATATGGATTTTTGAAAAAGCCCCAAAATTAAAAATTGAGCTCAACAGACTCATCATTTCATAAACTTTATTCATTTCTTATAAAACAGTAGTTTTTCAAAATTTTCTGTAACTGTTTTTTTTTTTAATTTCTTATACTCAAGATTGCTCCTATTATAAGAATATCCCATATATTACATATATATTAAACAATCTCCGTCAAAGGATTCGCTCGTTGTATCATTAGCAGAGCATGGGAAACCATCAGAAGATAGCAACAGTTTTATTGCTTTGCGGGACAAAGTTTTGCTCTTTTTTGGAGCAATTTTTTTGATGCTAGAAATATACGGATCTGAAGATGCCATAAGCCAATGGAAAACATCTTCCATCGTTTTCTCCCGAGAAACTTTCAAAATTTATTTATAAAATTTAAATATAACAGATTTTATACTAAGTATTTTAAATTTGTATTATTTCTTTTACTTAATATTTTAGCAACGATTTTTTAATTCGCTAAAAAAATTGTCAACACAAATAACCACAATTCAAATTTGACATTAACACACTACAATGCGTATGCGGAGTTGTTTTAACGCACCTTCAAGAGGTGGGTTAAATATGTAAAATCGGTGTTAAATATCTTAGTAGTCACGAACGATTTACGCAAATGAAAGTCTAGACACCGCTGTTGTAATAAACGTTTTGAGTTAAATCCGAGTGAATCGAGTAAACGTCATGAACGCAAGAAATAAAAAAAATCATATATTTTGTAAAGCATAAACACAGATATGCGCTCGACATAGGCTTAAAATCGCGAGGTTTTTTACCACAACCGTGCCTGAGCGCCCAAGAACATGTAGTTTTAAAGAGCTGGGGGCAAGTTGGGGCAGCTAATTTATTGATGGCTTGATAGACAAAACTCTAAGCTATTCAACGAATCTTGAACTGATGCCTTACAATTCATTACAATTTTTGTAGCTCCATTGTTCTAAAAGCTCGATTCAAAGTTTGCAATTTTAACAGACCGATCTTGTTGGTTACAATAACCCGTTGTACAAGCAAAATCTACGAAAAACAAATACATATCTGAATTTTAGATACCTTAAAGATCACCCTTCATCAAACCGCATAACAATCGGACACACCAAACACAAGTTATTCACTTTTAAACAATAAACAATTTTCCGCAGCGATCGCGTGTAAAGTACCTTCAACTGAAAGCGTCAAGTTTAAACTGATGTACAAGACAAAATATACATATTTTATATAATTTTTTTTCAATACAGGATGGAGGCAGGTATTAACTACTCATCTAACTCAAAATTTACCTGAAAAAAAAGTCAATTTTTGAGGTTTTGCCGATAGTTTCCAGAATTGAAACACTGTGCGACGTTGATTTTACGCGAGTGTTGCACCTGCAGCCTGAAGATAATTCCGCTAGAGTGGAATTTTGTAGTCGTTGCTAGAGATTTTGGCTCTGGGGTACAGAACTAGTTGTATAATTTTTACTTAAAATTTTAAATTTCAGAACGCCAATGTTTTAAACATAGTTTAAACATAGTCGGATAAAAGATTTTTTTAAATTTTAATACAACAATGTTCTATCGTCTACTAGCAATTTTTAAAGCTCCTACGTTCCTAGGCGAGAGCTCTCGGTATTAGCTGCGGCTTTTTTTGATTTCAATTGATTACCTAGACATTTTTTATTTTTAACTTTGGCATCTCCATTGCACCCTTTTTCTATGTGGCGCAAGTTCTGGGATACATTTACACAAAATTTTAGGAAAATCGGTGTAGTGAACTGCACTGTTTGATCTGACGTGAAATAACCCACCTACACTTATATAATACTTTTAACTTAAAATTGGCCCATTAAAATAAATACATAACATTAGATAACCCTGTATATTGACATATTTTTGGCTAGGCTGAATTACAACTAAACGCATCATAAGTTAATTATGTTTTTTCCAAGAAGCAAGATCAAAATGCCGCAAGCGGAAAAATCGAAAGAGGGGCACCAAGCCGCCAAGCTGAACCTGAGCCAGTACAATCTGGAGGATCTGCTTGAGCCACTGGCGAAGGCGAGCGCCGGAACGGCAAGGAGTCAGTATTTGAGCGTGTCCAGGTACGTAGCCGGTCAGCCGTCGGCTGTTAGACGAGGAGATCCAAACGTTAATTTAATCCCCACATACCCGAACAGTAGGCGAAATAGCGGACTTTTTAGTAAGAAACCAGGTGAGGAAATGCACCCAAATTAAACCCTTTCAAATTTGATACCTATAAAAGAAAAGTATTGTTAACAGAAGTAGATTTTAGATGATATTGCTTGTTTTATGTTGTAGGTCATACCTTTAAAAAAATCTAATATTTTTGTCAGAATATTTAATTTTTTTGTAATTAGTGTTAGAATAAATTTATCTATTTTAAGCCAATCAATCCCTGACCAAGAATTTTGAATTTTAAAATGAATATTTATTTTATTGATAATTTAAGTATTTTATAAAATATACAGGGTGTCCGGGAAAAGGAGGTCAATCCGTTAACCATATATTTCTTGAGTTAAAACAATAAGACTTTCATATTACCATTTTTCAATTTAGAGCTTCATGTTCGATATACAGGGCGACAAAGTTTGAAATTTAAAACTGATTTTTTTTAATAATTCAAGTAATTGATAAGATATTAAGTTTAAATTCGGTACACTACTTCAACATAAATAGTTACATTTTTTGAGACCAACAAAACAAAAAACAATTGTCAAATAATCAAAATTGGGGGGGTCCAGTACTTACTGACTCCCCCTATTTTTTAGTACGTGCGCCAATGACTTCCAAACAGTATTTTTGCAGGTAATAATTTATTGTTAAAAAAATTTTGTCTCCTATAAAATTTTGATAAAATGATTTGTTTTAGAGATAATTTGTAAAGTATAGGTCAGTCCATATCAAATCAACCAAAGGTTCTTCCCCCACCATCTCCGATTTTGATAATTTTGGTAAATTTTTTTACCTCACTAAAAAACTCAAAAATCCCATATATGAATTTTTTTCGATGGGTGGTTTTTGTTTAATTGATTTTTGAAAATTAAAAAATTCCGATTAATTTGGGTCTTGCAAGTACATACAAAAATAGCGATATCTCGTAAACTATTAAAAGTAGAAAGGTGAGCGATGGCTTATTTTAAAGGCCGATTAGAGACCTTTTTTATGATATATCACATGACCTAAACTTTTTCAAAATAAAATTAAATTTCCAAAATTTGATATGGACTGACCCATACTTTACAAACGATCTCTAAAACAAATAATTTTAACCAAATTTTATAAGACAAAAAATTTTCAACAATAATTCATTCCCTGAAAAAATACCGTTTGAAAGTCATTGGCGCACGTACTAAAAAATAGGGGAGTCAGTGAGTACTGGACCCCCCTATTTTGATTATTTGACAATTGTTTTTTGTTTTGTTGGTCTCAAAAAATGTAACTATTTATGTTGAAGTAGTGTACCGAATTTAAACTTAATATCTTATCAATTACTTGAATTGTTAAAAAAAATCAGTTTTAAATTTCAAACTTTGTCGCCCTGTATATCGAACATGAAGCTCTAAATTGAAAAATGGTATTATGAAAGTCTTATTGTTTTAACTCAAGGAATATATGGTTAACGGATTGACCTCCTCTTCCCGGACACCCTGTATAGTAGTTATTTAATTTGTATCTCAAAATGTTTTCAATTTTGTTTGCAAAAATGGCGAATGCGCCGGGACATATATTTCAACTTTGAATTTAAAAATATAATTAGGTACTCTCCGAATTGCAGGTTTTTTGAAAATGGTGTTAAAATAAGAGTCAAACCACGTCAAGTGGGACCAGAAAATTTCACGAAATCACCGATTTTGAAAATAATCACATTATTGTGTAGTAGGCATGACTCATATGTCAAAGTAAAAAAATTGTTTTAAAATTCGTTTTTTTGGTAATGTTATTAAGGTTGACAATTTTGTCAAACTTTAGAGCACGGTAAAATTAAAAAAATAGAATCTCTGGGACCACTCTGTATAATTGAATTAAATTTTACACACTATTGTAGAAATGTTTAGAGTATATAATGATCATTTAATTAAGGTTAATTTGTTTAAATAAAAGAATTTTTCATACATTTATTATAAACAATTGAAATTTTGTAAGTGTTCTTCACGCTGAAAAAAAATTAATCATGTGTCATAATATGCGGCAAACGTTTTCGTTTAATAAGAAGTACTCAAAAATTTGCCTTTCATATGTCATTCCGGAGATATTAATTTTTTTGTTCCGCTGTGCGCTTAATCAGTACGCGGCGCGCTTCGCTGCTAGCTCGTCAGCACACGGTGTGCCTGAACGAAGTTTAAGTCACATAAAAATTCCGCAGTTTCTTGTTCGGGACCCTTTGGTGACTTAAAAATGATATTTACTAGCTGCTCCTCTTTTCGAAATTTTTTGAAAAATCTTTTTTATGCATTATGCTTTTTACTATACAAAAAAGTGATTTTTGTCTAACCCTGTATAAATCTAAGCATATATATAAAAACAGTTTCTCTCGTTTACAATATCGGTGAACAAATGTGTACTCTGGCAAAGGTAGACTTTGCGATAAACAAATAATTTAAAAAAAATTGAATTTTTTACAAATTAAAAAAAAAAAAACAGTTGGAATTTTGGTAAATATATTTTTTAACTTCAACCAATCTTTCGTTCAAAATTGAAAACTACTAAAAAGCCTAAATTAAACATTATTTTAAATACTCTCTAAGCGTTATTTTATTAAATGTTATGACAAATCTATTTTTCTTGTAAAAGGTTAATAATAATGCCATTTTGTAACCTGATAGACGTAGAAATATCTAAAAAAAATTGGGAATAAATATTTATCGCGTGTTATGCTAAAATCATGAATTTACGCTTTTGCATTATTAAAAATAAGTGATTTTTGACTAACCCTGTGTATATTAAATGATGTTAACAGTATTAAAAAATATTCTCTAAGTCTCCTAAATAATATACTCCAATTTTATAAAAATTCGTGTGCAAATGTGTACTCTGTCAAAGAGATAAACAAAAATTTAAAAAAAAAATCATGAATTTTCGAACAATTTCGAAAAGAGGAGCAGCTAGAACTTTGGTAAATATCATTTTTAAGTCACCAAAGTGTCCCGAACAAGAAACTAATCAGTTTTTGGCGGCATTTTTATGTGACTTAAACTTCGTTCAGGCACACCGTTAAACCGTTCGAACGGACGAGCTAGCAGCGAAGCGCGCCGCGTACTGATCAAGCGCACAGCGGGACAAAAAAATTAATATCTCCGGAATGACATATGAAAGGCAAATTTTTGAGTACATCTTATTAAACGGAAACGTTTGCCGCATATTATGACACAAGATTAATTTTTTTTCAGCGTGAAGAACACATACAAAATTTCAATTGTTTATAATAAATGTATGCAAAATTCTTTTATTTAAACAAATTAACCCGTATTAAATGATCATTATATACTCTAAACATTTCTACAATAGTGTGTAAAATTTAATTCAATTATACAGAGTGGTCCCAGAGATTCTATTTTTTCAATTTTACCGTGCTCTAAAGTTTGACAAAATTGTCAACCTTAATAACATTACCAAAAAAACGAATTTTAAAACAATTTTTTTACTGTGACATATGAGTCATGCCTACTACACAATAATGTGATTATTTTCAAAATCGGTGATTTCGTGAAATTTTCTGGTCCCACTTGACGTGGTTTGACTCACAAAGTTTAGTCATTAAAATAGTCGACATGGATTTGTTGGTAATTTTTGGAGATCCAAGTAATGTAGTTATTAGTGTTTGAAATATAATATACCGTATTTTGCTTTTTGGTGGATACCTCTGACTCAATATAGCAGCACTCGGTTTTGCCGAATTTCGCTAAACGTATTGATTGATTATTAAGTTAATTTACTTTTAAAGATGATTCAGTTAAATCCACTTGGTCTGTATACAATACTGTCAACTTTCAAAACTGTCATAGGATATGCTGCACAATTTATGTTCAGTAGCAGTTTTACTTTAATCAAGCCTCATTTGCTTGGAGCTGAACTCGAATTGGACCTGAAATGTTGAAATAAAATTGAACAGTGGATTCCTTAGTAAAAAATAATGTTTTTAAAAAGATAAGGAAACAAAATTTTAGCTATTCAATGAGTATTTTATCACTGAAAAATATCATACTCGATTTTGTTATTGTTTTAACGTTTTAAAAATAAAAACATCGTTTAAAACTATTAAAGATAAAACTAAGACTGACCTTAAATGTTTATCGACTTCTACATTGGCGAGCTGTGACTTTATGGCGTTTTAGTCACGGGCTGAAGTTAGTAATAGTGGCTTTTGGGCATTCTAGTCACGGGCTGAAGTTAGCTTTATTATAAATTAGAGAAAAGTGAGGTTAATTCCGTTGACATTTGACAGATGTCAAATGTGGTCGACGTGGATAAAGTATAGTATGCAACTCGTTTTATACACTTATCTAGACACTCGTTTTTATTAAACACTCGCTTGCAAGCTTCGCTCGTGCTTATTAAAACTCGTAACTAAAATGGTGTTTATAAAACTTGATACATAATATACTATTTTCTACTCCCACCTTTAAAACGCCCATTATCGTACATGTTTCCATGACACTTAGTGACCGTTTAAATAAACATTGACAAGTTGTGGGTTAATAGTTTTAAGTTAGTTGACAGTTGTAAAATTTCATGCAATTGTTAAAATAAAGTGCACTTCTTGTAGAATAATACTAAATGTAAAAATTATTTTATTATCTCAATACAAAAATAGATTTAACTAAATTTCGGGTGGAGTGCCAATTAAACATTTTCTTTACTTTCACTGTGAAAAACTGCTTCTATATCGGATTAAACGGTCCATTTTTAAGGGGTACATTTCGATTAACACAAAAATTTGACATTTTCACCAGCGCACCGGTAATACAGATACATTCCTTAGTTGGTTACTATATTGTTTTATAGATGTCGCTCTGTACAAATATTTAATTTAAATCATTTTTAAATAATAATAAGTATTTGTGGAAAATTGAACGTTCTACAAAAAATTTCTCATATCATTTTTCGATAAACCAACGAGTTCAAAAGTTATTCAAAGTCGAAGTTAAATTTATGTCATAATTGCATTTTTACTTCAATTTTAGGCAAATTCATAAGTTAGTTATTATCAAATATAAAAAAAATCATTCCAAAATCAAAATTACGATGTTCAATAAGCCTTTTAAATCAATTTCACTGAAACACCTACTATTTTTGGAAATAATTCATTAAAATTCTTTTTGATTTATTAAAATCCTTTTTTATTGATTTAAATCCTTTTTAATGAATTCTTTCCAGTAATAGTACGTGTTTCAGTGGAATTCATTTAAAAGGCTTATTGAACATAGTAATTTTAATTTTTGATAATAACTTTAATGAATTTGTCTAAAATTTAAGTAAAAAATGCACTTATGACATAAATTAAACTTCGACTTTGAACAACTTTTGAACTAAACTGCGCACCACTCAATGTGTCGCGATCAAAAAGTTCGTCCTTTTTCAAAACGACATAACTTTTTTGTTTCTTGAACGATTTTATTTCGGTCTGTGATGTCTGCTAACCCCATCCTCTGGCAATTCATGCTATAGATATTAAGCACAAGGTTCTTCAAGTAAATTTCCTACAGGGTGATATGTAAAACGGTGAAAAATTTCAATAACTTCATCCAAGCCTCGTTTGTAAAACAAAATTTTTTTTTTCGTTTTTACTTTGAAATATTATGTGTTACCTTGAATCGTTTTTCAATATTTTCGAATTGGAATCTTTTTGGTAGGCAATATACTCAGTCTTTTTAAGAACAAGAAAATAAGATGGTAAAAGATTGTTCCTTGAATAATTCTGAACAAGCGACAAGCAACAAACTTCCATTATTTTCAGAGGGGCCTAAGCAAAGACCACTTTTTCAAAATGACATTTTGATGAAAATTTGCGAAAACTAAACCTGAACCAATATTTACGTTCGTGACATGTTTTCTTTATAATTTTAACCTCCTGATTGCAGTGGCGGCTGGTGGATTTTAAGTATACCAATATCTCAGTTATTAGACATGGGACCCACACCAAATTTATAATAGTTTATATTGACATTAAATAAACAAGTTCGGCGCAAACAGAATTTAAATTGAAGTTTGCGAAAAAAAGTTAGTTTTTCCTGTCGCCTACCCTGCCTCCAGGCCCCCCTATTTGAGATAATTCAAATTAAAGTGGTGCAATTTATTATCTACTATAATTTATCGACAAATTTAAAATTTTATTTAAAAAATCCAAATATTACAGTTTTTATACCATTTTAAATATTTTTTTATTTTAATAAAATAAATAATAAAAATTTAAAATCGAATAAAATCTGTAATATTTGGATTTTTTGAATAAAATTTTAAATTTGTCGATAAATTATAGTAGATAATAAATTGCACCACTTTAATTTGAATTATCTCAAATAGGGGGGCCTGGAGGCAGGGTAGGCGACAGGAAAAACTAACTTTTTTTCGCAAACTTCAATTTAAATTCTGTTTGCGCCGAACTTGTTTATTTAATGTCAATATAAACTATTATAAATTTGGTGTGGGTCCCATGTCTAATAACTGAGATATTGGTATACTTAAAATCCACCAGCCGCCACTGCCTGATTGTGATTCAGTTGTCAAATTTAAGTTTCAGATAAAACCAAAATCATCAAGAATCAAAATTCGAAAACAATTCCCTGTTGTTAAATGTCTTAATAAAATCCGATTGCTGTCGTGTTTCTTGCATATTTATGATAAAAATGCCATTTGGAGATTCATTTTTTGGCAAAATTACTGCAATTTGTTTGAGTGGTTAGGATAATTTTACATAACTTACATTTACATTGCGCAGTAGTGATAACATCATTAATAAGTACCTACCTATCATTTTTGAAAATTGTATACGTAGTTATAATCATAATCAAAACTACAACATTCAACAGAAAAATGTAACAAACAATAACAATAATACCTTTCAATATTTCGTTGGCCCTCCCCTAAGCCGTAATAATTCGTTAACCCTCCTGGGCATTCCCTCGACCAAGTTCCTTAGAAATTTCTGGGGTACCCCATTCTTCCTGAATAGCATTTACCAATTCATCCAAATTTTCCATGCCTCCTTCCCTCTCTTTCATCTTCAATTTTATCCCGCTCCACACAAGCTCAATAGGATTCATATCCGTAGACAAAGGTGGCCAATTCATTTTCTCAATATGGTGGTCCCTTAAATACTCATTTACGATATGTAAAAAAACAGTAAAACCAGCAATCGGATTTTATTGACACATTTAACAGCCGGGAATTGTTTTCGAATCTTGATTCTTAGTGATTTTGGTTTTATCTGAAACTTAAATTTGACAACTGAATCACAATCAGGAGGTCAAAATTATGAAAAAAACATATTGCGAAAGTAAATATCGGTTTAGGTTTAGTTTTTGCAAACTTTCACAAAAATGTCATTTTCAAAAAGTTGTCTTAGCTGCCCTCTGAAAATAATGGAAGTTTGTTGCCTGTCACTTGTTTGAATTATTTAAGGAACAATCTTGTACCATCTTATCTTCTTGTTCCTAAAAAGACTAAGTGTATTGCCTAAAAAAAAGCCTTAAATGAACTCTTTTGGAAAAAAAATCATATTTTCGTTGCTAAGATTCCAATTCAAAAAATTTGAAAAATATTTCAAGGTAACACATAATACTTCATTATTTCAAAGTAAAAACGAAAAAAAAATTATTTTTTTACAAACGGGGCTTGGATAAAGTTATTGAAATTTTTCACCGTTTAACCTATCACCCTGTAGGAAATGTACTTGACCAATCGTGAACTTCATATCTATAGCATAAATTGCCAGAGGATGAGGCTAGCAGATATCACAAACCAAAATAAAATCGTTTAAGAAACAAAAAAGTTATGTCGTTTTGAAAAAGAACGAACTTTTTGGTCGCGACACATTGAGTGGTGCGCAGTTTAGTTGGTTTATCAAATAATGATAGGAGACATTTTTTGTAGAGCGTTTAATTTCCCACAAGAATATATATCGCGCATAATTAGTTTGTGAGCTAGAAAATTATTAAGAAACAAAACCAAATTTCCCATGTTATTTTAATGGGAAATAGAAATTCTCGATGCGCGACCTCTAAATATTAAAATTAAGAGCTCCGGTTTTCACAGGCGTCTTTTTTTGGTACCGTGAAGATATTTCAGTGCGAAATTTCAGGAAAAAAAATAGTTGATTTTTTTGAACCAGCCTACTCTTTATACATAGTATACTACTCTCTTTATTTTTATTATAATTTTTTTTAATGTGCTTTCAATAGGCACCAGGCCCAATTACAGAAGTACACAATGACAAACACAAATAAACAGCCATACCCCTGGTGGGATTCGAACCCACGACCTCTCGGCTTGTAGTCCGCAGCGCTAAGTACTACACCACCGAGGGCGGTTTATACATAATATACGATTCTATACATAGTACACTACTTCCCTAAAAAAAGGCCCTTAAATATTACGATTCGTCTAAAATCGGGTATTGTTATTTTTTTTATAATCTCAAATCTCAAATGCATTTTTTAAATTTAATTTAGGCGCTACTTCGTGTTTTTTTTTAACGAAATAATACTAAATACTAAAGTTTTTATTTATTGTCAGATAAACAAAAATATGTACATAAAAGAAAAATGTAATACATTACTAGAGAAGGAAATGAGAATAAAAAAGAGCTAAAAGGCAGTTAAAAACTGATATAGAATTTTAGCCATGAGATAATTAAAATCCAATTAATAATTTACAAAAAAAAAACATAATAATAATAATACTTAGAATGTATATAATAGTGAGAAGGAAAAAAACTTTTTCATATTTTATTCTTTTAAAAGTAAGTTTTTATACTGATACTTTAAAGATTGAATTTTGTAGAATTTATATCATTCTGGTAGAGAATTGTATAGCGTATAGATGTTGTAAGTAAATGACTGTACTATGTGGAGGTGGCGAATAAGACTCCTAAATCTTAGATTTAAAGTATGGACATTTGTACGAAAATATCTTATTATACAGGATGTCCCGGGTTTAATGATCCTAATTTTGCCAGTCGGTAGAGAATAAAAAAACACAATGAATTTACAAGAAAAACATGTATCGAAAAACTAAAAATAACTGAGATACTGACTTCTAAAGTTTGAAACTAAAAATCGTTTTTTTCTTATAACTTCTGAACCGTTCTACTGATTTGGCTTAAATTTAACACACATAGTTAAGAAATATTGACTCACATACTGCCTATGGCAATTATTTTTAAGGCACTCCAGTGGCGTAGATATTGGGGGTGTAGGTTCCCTTTTTCCGACATATGTTTACGCCACTGAATTTTTTGTAAAACTGTCCGGTTTTTTAAAGGTGTTTTTACATCTGGAAACGTTGCTCTAAATCGAAAATTCTTGTAAAAAATTGTATTTTTTAATTTAATGTTCACGTGCTAAAACCACTACAATTATTTTAATTTTAACGTATTGTCTTTTTAATTAAAATTGGAAATCCCTCTAATTAAAAGGTACCTACTAATAAATTTTTCTGTTTAGGAAAAATCGACCTCCCTTCAATATGGAATGATCCAATGGGCGACATAACAAACGGTACTCAAAGAACAATTGCCGGATTGAGTCTGCCAAATGCCGGGGGTATCGATTGCACAGCCAAGTAATGATTTATTATTGATTAAATGAATAATTAATCAAACAAGTTTATTTTTAGATATTTTAAGTAAAAATCGTCAATGATGAAAATAATCTGTGATAGTTACATATTTTTTGTTTAAACACTTTCCATATTGTATATTAATTATTAACCACAATAAATATATTAACTGTTAACAAAATAAATAGATTTTTTCAACCTTCCAAGTTTTTACTTCAAACAATGGTGTATTATAAATTTAAACGACCTTAACTTAAATAAATGGAAACAATTTATGTTTATTAGGTTTATTAGGCTTATTACATACCTACTAACATGTAACATTACGAAACTTTAAAGTAGAGTAATTTAAACTTTACTTTTTGATAAAATTTCCTTGGGCAAATTTACGAGTGACCGCAAATATTCGATTTCTTGCTGCAGTTTTATGTTTTCGTATGTAAGTAAATTGTTTTTTCGAATCTGAAAAATATTTTATGACATAAATATTACGATAAAATATTTTTTCAATTATGGAGTAACCTGTGTAAATAGGATTTTGAATAAAATATATGAAAAATATAATTTTTATTTTGCTGCTAATATGATTATTTGCCTCACACTCACGTGGAATTAAGACATTTTACGCTTGAAAACAATAAACAAAGTAAGCTTTTGTTACCGTAAACACGGGTGACTTTAACGGTTAAAGTTTAACCCATTTATGAAAAATCTTTTTGCGCTCGATAAAATTAACATTTATAATTTGTTGGTCTAAACCTGTCAATTGAGCGATTCTATTGAGTTTTTTTACAGGAAAATCAGTGTTTTAAAGAAAGAAATGGGATTTATTACACTTTAAAATTGTATATATCGCATCAGTGCAAAACTCTTAGAAATACACGCGTTACAATTTTTAAATTATGATTATGAATGATGATCCTTGGTTAACTACAGGTCGATTTTTTATTTTTTTTATTGGTAATCCCTAATAAAAATAAAATATAATATTGAATTCATTTTATACGGAAAATACACTGTGAGACAAAGTAACCCGCAACCAGGGGGTAACTTTGCACACCCAGTTTTTAATTTTTATTTTTGAAACTCAGCTCTATGTAATATTTAACATAGTTATGATGAAAGAGCAACTCAAGACTCAAATTTTGGTATACAAAATTTAATGTTTATGATTGTTAAAACAACAAAAATTTTAAGCTTAAGTTTGAAAGTGAGCCAAAGCCACCCGTGATTACGGTACACTAATTATATATTAAAAACAATTGTTAAGTTTAGGTTTAAGCTAAGCTTAAGTTTAAGCTTAAACGTAAGCTTGGCTTAGGCCTAAACCTAAACTTAAACTTAACCACGATTTGATTGTGGGACAAAATAATATGTGGAACAAATGGAAAATGAACGATTTTGAATGCTCGTCAGATTCGACCATTTTCTCCACTCGTTGCACAATATATATTATACCTCTGTTAGTAATAAAGCCTTATCTGATTTCGGCGTTAGCTTAATTTGTTCATTTATATAATTATCTTTTTCCATTGACTGCTTTTGAATTATCGTAACAAGTTGATTGTGAACAGCTCTTAAAGTGTTTCTTTCGAGTTTAAGCTTTTGTATCTAAAAACAATTCTATGAATTTTACAAGGTGTTAAAAATTAGCTGTAGAACGTTTTCCAAAATAATTTAAGATCAAACAAATGTTTTATATTTAAATTTGAACGATATAACAGAATTCTGTTCTAAAACCCTGTAACTTTACAAACTTGTTCGTTCTTCTTTTTCTTGACCAGAAAAAGCTTTATTTTGCATTTTTCAACAAACTCGTTAACTTCTCCAAATTTGCTTTTTAAAATTTCTACTTCTTCCTTAATACATGTGTTTTCATTTTGATACTTCCTTAGTTCTGAATTTCTAGTTTCCAGAATTTTTAATAATCCATTGTGATGAGCTAAAAGCTCTTCATATCTTGGAAAAATAAAAATATTTGTATGTTTTTTTTTTACATAATTATACTTACTTGTATTGTAAGTGTACCATACTTATTGTGGAGCAATTCGTTTTTAAATCCATTTTTGAGTCGCATCTGATAATGTCATATTCCCCACAATTTTGCTGTAAATTATTTAACATTTGTTTGTTTTCTCTTTGAACCTCGTCCAACTGATTATTCAGTTCCTGATTTTTCAGATAATCCATCCGAATACACATAAGCATTTGCTTATCAGTTTCGTCGGAAGTGGCCAAACTATACTCCAAATTCCTTATAATCCCATCGATTTTTTTTAAACGTGTATCGAAATTATCAACCGCTGTAATATCCAACTGAAATATCGTTAACAGTTATCTGCAACTGGCAAGTTTTAACACTTACTGTATTACCTGTAGTCATGTGATGTTTTTCATTAACGCGTTTTTAATTTTAAAGAAGAAATTGCTAAGTTAACCAACATGGACAACAAAAAAATAGGAAAAAACGTCTTTGAACTGACAGTGTCAAATTTAAACAGAAACAGACATAAACATGGGAAAAATTGTATTTAATATAATTTAAAACGTAGACTACTTTTTTCAATAAAAACACCAAAAGAAATAAAATTCTTCCAACCCATTGGTAAATATTGTATTTAATATAATTTAAAACGTAGACTACTTTTTTAATAAAAAAACACCAAAAGAAATAAAATGCTTCCAACCCATTGGTACATAGAAAAAACGCTAGCATAGCATAAATGGGTGAGCCATTAAACCAATGGGATCTTGTAATCCGTATTCCTGAATAACAGTTCCTATAATACCAATAGGTAGTTAGCACTTGGTTTATAATCGTTTACTGTTTTTAAATTAACAACAAAAGTTATCGCTCCTAAATCTATTGATATTCATATTGATATTTATTTGTTAGAATGGTAGAATGTTACTTATTGCATTAAATACTAATTTGATTTATTTAATAACGTTACTATTGTATGTATACTATGTATACATTTAACGCAAAAATTCTTTTACATTTAGGCAAAATATTTCCCTATTTTGGTTTAATAGTAATTAATTGAGCAAATAACAATTTAGATTGCTTCAATTTTAATGCATTCAATGACAGCGCTGTTCTTGGTACTACGTAGTATGTTAGATTTTTTTCTGTGTAAATATTTTTGTTTTTTAAAAATTTCTTAATCCTGTCGAAATTGTGTTTGTTAGTTTGCTTTTCAGGCAGCAACTTGTTTTTACTCTTTTGCCTTTTTAATTTTTAAATATACAGGGTGTCCCAGAACTCGCGCCACAGAGAAAAAGGGGGCGTGCCGATAGCAATGGAGATGCCAAATTTAAAAATAAAAAATTTCTAGGTAATAGTGTAATCGAATGAGAGCAAAAAAGCGGCAGCCAATATCGAGAGATCTCGCCTAGGTTAAACGCCTAGACCACACCAATAGATAATCTACTCTAATGGATGGCCTTGTATCATAATATAGTTTCTTCATTTTAGACGGCGCTGTGGTCAATGACGATGTAGCAACCCCGCAACTAATAAACAGCTTTAACCACAGGTCTGTGGCTTTAACCTTTTTAATTAATTCATAAACAGCTGTCACTCATCTTTAAAATATTATATTAATCATATATGCTCTGTTTTTAATGTCTGTCAAACAAGTGTCTTAAATATAAGTTGGTTTAATAAACTTGAACGTGTGTTAAATTAGTGCTTAATTCCAATATTATTATATTTTTATATTATTTTTATATTTTATTTTATTTTTTACATCTTGAAAGGTAAGTATGTTTTTTATTCTTGTTTAATTCTTGTTTTAAAACTTTGTTATTACAGATGGTTGCTATATATTGTGCTGTTGAAAGTTGTTGGGGATCTAAGGAATCTAAACATTCCTTTCCAAATCCTTCAAAGAACATCGACTTGTTTAATAAATGGGTTAAGTTATGTGCCAATAAAAGACTTATTGAGATGACACCTCAAAAATTTTTTACAAACTGCAGAGTGTGTTCAAAGCATTTTATTCAGGAGGACTTTTATGTAATAAAAGACTTGGTCGTCTGGCTTACCCAACATTATTATTACCAGGTATAGCTTGGTTTCATTAAAATTAGTACCTATGTAATTTTGCAGTGGTGTTTTCTGCATGAAAATCTATATATTTTTAAATATAAGTTAATATTATTATTTTTATTGCCTGCTTTTGTCTGTCAGAACTAAATACCAAAGTAAATTTGTTTAATTTTATAAAACAAATAAATAATATTTTAAATTCAAAAGACAGTAGAAAGTTAAATAAAAAAGCTCCAGAGCTCTTTCATAAAGCCAGGGCACTGGCTTTAAAAAAACATTTTAAAAAGAGAATACAATACTAAAAAATGTAAAGTATATTTGTTTAATTTTATTAAACAAATTAATAATATAAAATTCTCATGACAGACAGGAAACTGGCTTTAAAAATATTTTCAAGTTAATCAATTTTGACCAATGCAAGTTATTTTAATGTATATATAGTGAAACGCATCTACTTTTTCATTTAATTGTTATGTTTTTTATGTTCAATATTTATGTAAATCAAAATAGGATTTTATTATATAATTATATAAAACATATGTTTTGTACGGTTTAATTGAGGAGCTTTTAATCAAAACCAAATTTGTCCACTTCTGGCAAATAATTATTACTACTTAAGTAGTGATCATTGTAGAGGAGGATCATTCACACATATAACCACTTTAAAAGTGGCCATTATTTTAAATGGGACTTAAAAATAATCATCTTAAATGAAATTTGGTCATAACCAAACATGTTTGTTCTCTAAATTCAATTCTACAAATTCTAAAAGGTTTCTGAATACAGTGGCTTACTGCCTATAGGCATGTTAGAAAAACTAACAGGATGTCTTATATAACAACAATTTAATGTATTTTTATGTTTTTACGCTCCCCTGAAAATTTGATCAAATGGATAAATTTGTTTTTGACCACTCACTCCTGAATTATTTATTTTATGTTTATTATTTGTATGACCTAAGATAGTATTTTACTGTTTATGTAATATTTATATTGAAAAATATATGTTAAAATATTTTAATTATTTCATTTATGACCTAACAATGATTATATTTAAATATAAATGTATTTTAAGAGCCATTTTACAATTTGGAAAAAAAGCAATGTAAAGCCTTGTTCAGTGCAAGAACCAGTTAACTATTTTAAAATGTAAAACATTTTAGTGGAAATTGAGTTATCTAGTTCTTGCACTGTACTCTGCCAATTACAAAATAATATATATTTTTAAATATTGGCGGGCGATTTTGGCAACGTTGCATTTTAATTACTTCAATTTTAATAGATGGCGCTTTATTGCATCAAAACGTTTTCAGGTAGTTACGTATCTATTGGTGTGGTCTAGGGTTAAACGTAGGAGCTTTAAAAATTGCTAGGAGACGATAGAACATTGTTGTCTTAAAACATTTAAAAATCTTTTGGCCAACTAAACGATTTATTTTATAACTTAATAACAATTAAAACACAAAGCAACCATAAAACTAAATAAACACTTAACTACTAATTATTTATACATGTAGTGCACTACTGTACAAGAGTCTATTTATTTTGCACGTATATTTATTTTATTTCTTCGTGAGTACCAAAGCTTGACCAACTGCTCCATGCTCCGCAGTGCCTACGTGACCCACGTCACGCAAGCACCTTCCCGAACATTCCTGCGAGCTCCACGCCGTACACAGGGGTATTACTACTAAAAAGTTGGCCAAAATTATTTTTCAAGTTATAACAGTTTAAAATCGTATAACATGCTATGTTATAGCCTGATATATTATTTAGGACATCAATTTTGTAATTTAGGTACCTATGTAATATAATTTATGTATAAATACAGACTCGCCATTTTCTACGCATTAAAAAACATACCCTGTATAATATTTTGTAAAATAAAAATAAAGTTCATAATAAAGAGACTTTAAGTTTACTCACTAGACTCCAAAAAATAAAAAAATCAAGGTGTTTATTAAAAATAGGATAGTTGGCATCATAGATGACCGAAGGCATTGCCCCAGGATAAACCGAATACCCTGTATAAGTGAAAATTTATGTATTATTATTTTATGAACTTTTGTTCTCTACAATTTTTTTGTAATTTCTGAATTACGAGTAAGCATTGAGTAATTAAATCCTCCCTTAACATTGTACGTGCCTATATCTTAAAAACAGCTTAACACAGTAATCCGGACAAATCCGGAACCAATTATTTTATTAATATTTAGTTAAATCCTTTCTTTGTGAAATAATGATTAAATAAAAACCGGGACGCACCCGGAAGTATTATAAAAACTTCAAATATTTTATATTTTAATGGAAAAAAACAATAATATTTCATATCTATTAAAAGCGTTTTTTATAATTAAACTTAGTTTACCATAGGTAAAAGTAATAAAATACGTTGTTTATACCTGGCATAGGATCATCCATATTGCACCACTTTAGACTGATTAGTAAAAACATTATTAAATAAGTCCAAAAAATTGTTATTTCAAAGTATTCTTGAATTTAATAAATATCACTTCGAGGAACCCGAATTCCGCCTAAGCAGGAAGCTTCCTGGTAGTGCAGGAGTGCAAAAAACTTTAAAACATTGCTTTCCCTTCATTTATCTATGCAATGTAAATAACAATTGTATTATGCGACTTATTCTATAAAATTGACTTTTGGCCAGCTTTTTAAAGTAAATACCCCTATGTGCGCCGCTTCGATCGCTCGAGCGCCGAATCACCGGCGATGAGTCTTCATTCCGAGATCCAAAGCGGTACTCGCTACAATACCTTGAGTAAGTCATCTTACACTATTTAGCGTTGCATTGCGATGTACACATTTTTTTTTTTGTGTTCTGGTACTTTTACTTACATCCCGGGGATGCGGTGCCTATTTTTTCATTCAAGTATTACATAACGTATTTTTTGTTTTTTTTAAACCCCTACCCCCTCTTAACATACCATAACATTTTGCTTAGCCCCCCTTAGTTTTTATGTAACACTAGGAAATTTTTATAATGCAATAAAAGTTCCACTCTGTTGATGTTTTAACGTAAACATGTTAATGTTTTTTTTTCATTTAAAACAAGTTTTAGTCCTAACTATTTTCAAGTTTTGATTTATTTTATTTTTATTTACAAGGTACAATTTTATTCAGTCCGTAAAAATTACTTGAAAAGAACTATTTTTAGAGTTAAGAAGAGAAAAAATGTTTAAGATGTTATATTTTGGAGAAATTTTACTTCGACAATTTTCTTCACCATTGAAAAAATCTGTCAAAAACTCAAAGGTTTTTTAACGAAGTTTGTATCCAAATGGAAGCAGAGTCATAACATAAAAGAAAATTTTCTTCAAAAAATTCAGTGGCTAGAGGGAAAGATGAAG